GCCACGAACCACTGAAGGAAGTTAAAATGGTGTCAAGTTCACAGCCCGTGGATTCCTTAAAGCAAATATAAATCCACCCCTCCAAGTGTGGGCCTTTTGTATTTAAGTCAAACAGATACAACCAACATCATCAAATAAATACACAAGGAAACAAGCCATGGGAATTATTTATAAACACAGACAATAGATTTTAGACCCCTAGAGATTTAAAGTACTGGACATACAAGACAAAACGTAAAATAAGTATCAATATTCTTTGACAAGAATAGGGCATAATACAAAAAAAGAAAAAGAAAAAGAGAGAGAGAGAAAGAAAGGAAGGAAGGAAGGAAGGAAGGAAGAGAAAGAAAGAAAGAAAAAGAAGGAAGAGAAACTTATATTGAAGGCAAAAGGAAAATGGAAGCAATTTTGTAGTACTTCATAGTTTTGCCTAGGGCTGGCTCTATTCCTTTGACTAATTCTAAAAGGCATAAAATAGAGAAAAGAACTATCCCCACATAATGTTATAAATTCTCTCTAATCGTCTGCTACCACATCACACATAGCCCCTGGGAAAATGTTCAAATACAATATGCTCACAGATTTAGATTATAACCTGAAAGCTGATTGACAGTCAAAACACTCTCATACAGACTGCTTTGCTGAAAATGCCAGCAATATCCATCCACACAATCTCAGTATTACAATGGACTGGAATAAAAAATGCTGTATGTTGTAATAAGCTAACATACCTAAGATGCCTCAGTAGATTCTGCTCAATTGTTTGAAGATGGTTCTCTATGTAAATTCAGCTTTCAAACAACCTACTCTGTTTATTGTATCACCTATCCTAAGAAGTGTTTCACACACCTTAGGTGTTCATACATGAGCTGACAAATAGATGTTTTCAGATACTGCATAGTGAAGCTCTATTATTTTCTCATTCACAAATATTTATTACTACATTATTATAAATTGCAAAAAAAATGGTAGAGAATCTAAAATGGGCTTAATGATCAGAAGTAGAACCATCAAACTAACAACATGTAAGATTAAGACAAAAATAATTAGATGTGCCAAAAAACAGCAAGTCTTTAACCTTAAAAAGATCTTCACTGGACTTATGCTTATGGACCACCAGACTCAATGACAAATGAAAAGAATATCATTAAAGAGTATGTATAAAACCCTATAAAAAAAAGGAGACAAATCAGTCAGTACATGGACAGAGCTACCAATTATTAGAACATACAGATGGTTCTTTCAGTGTGACAATCATCTTGATAAAGTGGTCTATGATTGAGAAAATGATTTTCTGCCATCCATACCTTTGGTAATTGAGGATGTACAACAAAAAACCATGCTCCTCAAGCTTGGGCAAAAGTGGGTGACACAGGGCTAAAGAGAGTATACACAGAGGATGTTTGGCCTCAAAATAATATAGTATATCTCTCAAGTGCATCAATTTAGTCAGCAGTAATGAAAAATAATTTTATCTTATAATAAAAGTGACAATGTGTTTCAAGTATAAAATATCTGTAATTTCTAGGACAGAATATAAAACAAAGTGTTGGGTTTGCCAGGTTGGTTGGATTATGCTTGTAGGTCTTGTGGGATGGGGATAAACATTCACTCCATTCTTGCTATGAAAACTTCATAGAAAGGCTTGCAACTCACCAAGTAGAACTATGTTTTTGGTACTACTGGTACTATAAACATGTATGTTAGCATTAACAAAAATAACACATTTAAGTCACAATTCATTTAAAAGCTCTGTTTAAATATCAGTATATATTTAAAACACAGAAGGTTAACGATCACAACAGTAAGTTAAACAGATTCATCTCTTAAAATGTAAAGCATAAACATGGGCTCTCAAAATCAATGCTGAATGACAAATAGTAATTGTGAAAGACAAAATAGTTACACTGAATTGTAATTCTCACAAACATACCCTCAAAATACACAAAGTTCATAAGATTCAAGAAATCAAAATTCTGCAGACTATTTCATATACAAGTTAATTTCTTCAAAACACTTCATTATCTGGATATAAAATCAGTACATAAAAATCAACAGTATTCCAATACAACAACCATGAAAAGGAACTGGTAGGAAATTTAAAAATGGCTTGGTGATTAGAAGCAGAACTTTCAAACAATGTGTAAGACTAAGACATAATTAGATATGCCAAAAATGTCAAGTTTTTAACTTTAAAATGATATTCACCAATAATGAATCCACCAAGAAAGAAATCAAAAACAACTTCATTCACAATAGCTTCAAAAAAAATAGCTTAAATACTTAGGAATCAACCTTAACCAAGTAGATGAAAGACTTCGCTAATAAAAATTTTAGAACTCTGCAGAAATAGAAAACGGCATTAGAAAATGGAAAGGAATCACTTGTTCATGAATTGACAGATTATAATATAGTTAATGTTATTAAAATACCCATGTTACCAAAAGCAATCTATAGGTGTAATGCAATCACTACTAAAATATCAACAATATTCTTCAACAAAGTAGAAAAAAATACTAAAATTCATATGTAATCAGACAAGATCCAGACTAGCCAAACCAATCCTGAGCAAAAAGAGCAAAGCTGAAGGCATCAAAAATATCAGCTTTCAAGTTAATACTACAAAGCTATAGCAAAAAACAACTGGTTCAAGAACAGACACACAGACCAATGGAATAGAACAGAAGACACAGAAACAAACCTATATATGTACAGCCATCTAATTTTTTTTTTTTTTAGTACCAGGGATCAAACTCGGTCCTTGCACTTACATGGCAGACAGCAGAACCACTGAGCTAAATCCCCAGCCCCTGCCATCTAATTTTTTGATAAAAAATATACAATGAAGAAAAGACAGCCTCTTTGACAAATAGTGCTGGGAAAGGGCTGGGGATTTAGCTCAGTGGTTCCAGCATCTGCCTCGCAAGCTCAAGGACCCGAGTTCAATTCCCAGTAAAATAAATAATAATAATAATAATAATGATAGTGCTGGGAAAACTGGTTATCTATTTGCAGAACATTGAAACTAGATGCCCTCTCACCTTGTATTAAAATCAAATCAAAATGACCCAAGACCTACGTATAAAAACAGGAATCGTTTGAAATTGTTAGAAGATAACAGAGTAAATACCTAAATCCACAGGACTGGGCAAAGACTTCCTAATAAAACTCAATAGCACAGGAAATAATACCACGAAAAAGCTTCTGCAAAGCAAAAGAAACAATCAACAGAGCAAAAAGGCAATCTACAGAACAGGAGAAAATTTTTACTTAACTACTCTTCTGTTATAAGGCTAATATCTAGACTATATAAAGAAGTTTATAATAACCTCAAAAAAAAATTACTCAAAAAAATGGGTAAATGGGGTCGGAGTTTTAGCTTGCAAGCGCAAGGTCACAAGTTCGATCCCCAGTACCAAAAAAAAAAAAGGGTAAATGAACTGAATAGATTCTTCTCAAAATAAGAAATACAAATGGTGGCCAATAAATACATGAAAAAACTTTCAATATCTTTAGCCATTACAGAAATGCAAATCAAAACAACACTGAGATTCCTACCTTATTCCAGTAAAGATGGCTAGTATCAAGGATTCAAAAACAACAAATGCTAGTGAGGTTGTGGGGGAAAAAGAACAATACTAGATTGCTGGTGGGGAATGTAAACTAATACAACTGCTATGGAAATCGGTGTGGAGATTCCTCAAAAAACTAAAAATAGAAGTTCCATTTGACCCAGCTATATCTCTCCTGGATGTATTCTCAAAAGAATTAAAGACATCATAGTGGCTATCTGAGATCATAAAAAGTGCAAGAATACCCATGTTTAACAACAACAAAAGAATCAAAAATACCCAAGTTTACATCAGTTATGCTATGGAAAGAGTCTAGATGCCAATCAAGAGGTGAATGAATAAAATATGGTATGTATATATACACAGTGTAGTATTTATTCAGCCATGAAGTATGAAATCATGTCATTTGCAAGAATATGGTACTTGAGACCATCATGCTAAGAAAAATAAGTCAGAGTCTGAAAATTAAATATTGCCATGTCTTCTCTTAAATGAGAAACCTAAAATATGAATAAATGCCAACATTTGATGTTGGTATTTACAAAAAAGGTACATATGAGCAACCACAGCAAAGAGAGGATGACGCTTAAGTATATGAAAGAATGATTAAATGTGTACATGAAACTCACAAAGCATACAAGCCTCGATGAAAAACTGTAAACATTACAAAGTTTTCCCAGCACCCAGGAACTGGTAAATATAACTCTGAATCACATGCGATCTCTGTCAGCCTGATGAGGGAAGAGATGTATGTTGAAAACAAAATCACAAAATGAGGAATGACACTTGCTTTGCCCTCAGACAGCTCAGCATCAAAGGCAGATACAAAGCACTACATTCACAATATTTCATTTATTAACCCTATTCTGCTCTTTCATTTTCTAGGTTGTAAGTTTTAAGACTGAGAATTGAAACACCAATATTCATTTGATCTTTAAAACTGCAGGTCCTCCTAACTACTGAGGCCGGGGAGACCTCAGCAATATCAGGAGCTAAAGATTACCTTTCTCTGTATCTTCAAAAAAGAAAACATGTTTCGCCACCATAAAATAAAGTAATCCCTTAATCCCTTACACACTCAGACTCAAAACTATTCTTTCAATTTGGGAAAAGTTAACATTTATAAAATTAACTCTGGCTGTCTCTTTTAATAATGTACTCCCCTGCCAGCTATATTTATAAGTGACACATATATTTTCTGAAAGCAATAATACTTACAAGTTTTACTTTTATTTTCCTTCTTTTTCTTCCCCATGCATGGAAGTCATATAAATAGAAGCCTTATTTCTACCAGCTTTTTTATTAAGACAGAAAAATGAGAGTTATGAGGAGAAAATTGTAATTTTCAAAATCATGTTATTATTACTCAAATTTGAGTCATATGTTACACATGCTATACTTAGAACATCGTCAAAAGGCAATACTTACTGTAACTGCCAGGAGATTTCTCTTCATAAGTAAAATGAAGGTGTAACTCCTCCTCTGACATCTCACAGATAAATATTTTCAGCAAACAGCAAATAATAAACAAAGCATTATGTGTCTGCCAAATAAAGATGTGGCTAGAGGGGAAAGACCAAAATCATATAAGAATCAGTATTTAATCATGAGTATAACCAGTTTGTTCTAGTCCAGGATTTCTGCATGATTTGTCAATGATTTAGTCAGCCTACTTGTTTTTATATTACAAATACAACAGTGTTTTTATATCCTTTAACTGACTGTACTGGACCAATGATACTATTGCATTTTACTGCCTAATTCACTTGTGTCTTATGTAGTGAACCTACTTAATGATCACACAAAATGCTGAAATCAAAGATTCTAGAATTTATAATCTCACCCCAATAGCTTAACCAAAACCTTTCTTCTTTTTCCCTAAATAAAAACAATAATTACTTCACAGTGCTTTTCAAAAGATCACAGTTCATTTACACCAATAAATTTTAAATATTCATATTAGATAAAAAGCGAACATGATTTAATCAGCCAACTTACTTCTCACATTCTGCTGAAAGTTTGAGTTCTTTGGTTCTAGAAAGGAAGACCTTAATTAGTGCAGCAAGATTTCCTGTTCGAGGATTGTTTTCAACTGTAAGAGAAGAAAAGAATTTCAAAAGTTAAAATAAAGAATGAAATAAATGGGAGTATATCATAACATTTATAAAATCAAATGTCAAATTGAAAGTGCTCGTTGACCAACCTTATGCCAATTTCATACCTAATTAGGGAAATAAGCAATGAGAGAAACTGCTGCCCTTGGTCTTCATTCTGAACATAAAAAATGGTTTCTAAAATGAAAATAATAAAGATAATAGAAGTAGCAACCTTATCTAAAAAATTATGAAAAGATAAAAGTTAATAGATTTATTCAATTTATACATATACATTTTAAATGTATCATTTATATTATGTGAATATAGGCGATAAGAACTACAGAAGCAAAACTGTTCAGATCTATTCTAATGAGGAAAAAATTCACATAAACAAAGCAATGTGGCTAGAGGGGGAGCTATCCTGATCAAACAAAACTTTAAAGAATTTATCTAAACATCTTTCTTTAAAGTTTTAAAAAGTAGGCATTTTAGCTAACCTGGTCTAAAGAGTTGAGAGAATACTGGGAATCAAAAGATCTAGTTTCTAGATCCAAGTAATTGGATATTAAGACTCAGACAGATCACTTTACTTTTCCAGCTTCAGTTTTCTCATCTCTAAGAGAAACAATAGCTAACATATTGAAAAATATATACAAGTGTTTTCCAAGCATTACTTCACTTAAGTCTCACAACTCTACAGGATAAGCACCAGTGTTCTTTTCATTTACATTTTCTTATTTGCAAGTTACTTTCTCAAGTACACATCCTTGCCTACTGACTCAAATCTTTTACCAAAGAATTGGACTTAATGAAATTATAAAGCTCTACTAGGCTACACATTAAGTCACAGAAGCACAGAAGTCACCAGTAGAGACAAGTTATAACTTTTAATTTTACCAATGAAGAAAAAAGCTCAGATTGATTCAGTGTTAGACCCAAGTCAACAATATATCAGTAACAAGTACACAGTCATGTTCCTTTACCAATGGTCTTCAAAATGTGAGATTACACAGTTCTCGATTATTTGTTTTACCTTTATGGGTGTTTATGTCCCGGAATCCAGTGTTGTTCTACCACTGAACTGTAATACCCTCAGACCTTTTAGTTTAGACTAAGTGTCTAGAATGGCCTCAAACTTGCAATCCTCTTGCCTTAGCCTCCTGAGTAGTAGGGATTACATGAAGTATATTTTCAAGTATTTTTAAAATCCAAAATGCAAACCTTCAAACAGAGTGGCCTGTGCTGACAGGAGAATTCATTTTTATGTAGATCTCAGAATTATGCACATATCTGACCTCCTTGAAATGTGTTGTTATGGTTGGGATTCAAAATATCCCCCAATAGCTTCACGTGTTGAAGGCCTGGTTGGCAGCTGAGAAACTGAATGGATCAGAAGGACTCTAACTTTAAATTCACTGATAAGTTCATAGCTCAATGGGCTAATCAGGAGGTGGGGCCTAACTGGATGAGGAAGGTAACTGAGGCACACCTAAAAAGGGTATAAACTTTTCTTGGGCTCTTCTCCATTCACTCTGCTTCCTAGTTCCTGTGGGGTGAGCAGCTTTCCTCAGCCACACCCTGCCCCATGATGTTCTGCCTAACTACCAGCTTAAAAGCAATGGAGCCAGCTGACCACGGACTGGAGGCCTCTGAAGCTGTAAGCCAAAAGAACTCTTTCCTCCTTTGTTATTTCCACACCAAAATACCAGGCTAACAAACATGCATCAAAGATTTGCAAAGATGGAGTTCAAAATATGTATTTCTTTAAATACAGGTTTTCACACATACATTGTAAAGACTGCACACGGAAATAAGTCACCTGCATTGTGCTTAGTAACTGCAGTTAATTCAGTTAACCTGCTGGATATGTCCTCCTCACAGCTCATCGTGATAATATGTCAGAGCACCCTGACATTCCAGGTGCAGCCCATGAGCACACATCAGTAACATCTGGGCATCTGTTGGAAGCTCAGAATCCCAGGTCCATTTTACACCCACCAAAATGAAAGTGCTTCTCTAAATTTAATTTAAATCACAGAACATTTTTTTTAGTTGGGTATGGTGGCACATGCCTGTAATCACAACACCCTGGGAGGCTGATGCAGGAGGACCACAAGCTCAAGCCCAGCCTGGGCAACTTAGTGAGTTAAGGAGACAGAGAACCTGTTGTTGCAGAATTCCAAGAGGCAGGAGACACTAATGGGAATCAGGAGGCTTTATTTTTAGGTTTAACGTGTACACCAATTCAACAGAATCTTGTCTAAAGGAAGAGTGTTGAACAAAGAAAAGTTCCAGCTTTTATACATTTTGTCCAAGGAGGTAGTTATTCTAGTGAGTGTACCAGAACAGAAGGGCAGTTTTGTAACTTTGCCTTAAAAGAAGATAGTGTCTTATGAATTATATGAGAACAGAATGTCATAAACTCTGTTTACAGGATATAGTTGTCAATTTTATCTGTACTAGAACAAGGAGTTATAGCTACAGGGGAAAGAGGGCATGGGGGGGCGTGCTCAAGGCTGGGAAGAACTTGTTTTTAAGTCTTGCTTCACTGTCTCAAAATTTAAAAACAAAATACTGTAAAAGAAAACAAGAAAGTGCTGGGAAGCTTGGAATGTAGATCAGGGCAAAGCTCAATCCCCAGTACTGAGGGGGGAAAAAAAGGCGCCCTTTTTAAAAAATGTAAATCCTGGGCCAGGGATTTAGCTCAGCAGTTTGGTGGCCTGCCTTGCAAGCGCAAGGACCTGAGTTCAATCCCGGTACCAAAAGAAAATGTAAATCCTGATTCCACATGTATGAAGTACAACCTGAAATTACATATCTCAGTTTCCTAGGTGATGCCCACTGCTGCTGGCTAAAGAACTCCATGGTAAGTAGGAAGGTGCCCCATCCACTGTAAATTAGGGGGGTTTTCTCTCCAGCTTTCACAATCAATGATAGGAGACAGAGAAAACTCAAATAGGAAGGGGACCAAGAGATGAAGGGAGGGAGAGGAAAAAGAAGGGAAGGGGAAGCAAAAAGAATTAAGATGTGTATGTTTATGTACCAACTCCCAAGATAAATGTAATCATTATGTACTACAAATATGTACTAATAAAATTTTTTCTCAATTTTTTTTGTTTTTTTTTTGAGACAGTTTCCCTGTTTCAGCCTGGCCTTGAACTCACTATGTAGCCCAGGCTGGTGTCCAACTCATGGCAATCCTCCTGCTTCAGCCTACTGAGTGCTAGGATTACAGGTGTGTGCCACCACACCCAGCATGCATTTTTTAAAAAATTTTTTAAAGTTATGTCATTAGATATTGTTAGAGCTTTACTTTGAAAAAAATTTCCTATTCATTTTTCAAGATTTGTCTTTAGCTTAATGAAAAATATCTTCAGATTTCAGGAAAAAACTTTTTAAAAAAGTTAATATTTACATGTGTACTTCTGAGAGGGCTATTATTATCTATTATAAACCAAAATAAAATAAAAAAATACAAAGCTGAGGTGGTTATAACTACAACTATCTTTCAGAATCCCAACTTCATCATCTTTGTTCACTCAACAGATCTATTTTACTGAAAAAACAAAACCCTGTATTGGTGGAAAGAGCAAGCAGACACTACTTTGATATAAAGCTCTACGTACTTTTTTCATTCATTCATCAAGCATGTTTTGAACTACTCATATGCGTACACTCTGTTTCAGGTGCTAAGGAGACATCTGTCAACAGAACTCCCCGTCTTAGTGGACCTTGCATTCTAAGGCAGTTAAAAAGTTCCCACAGCACTCTTTTGACTAAGATGGAGGCCAAAACAAAAAGTTTATAAAATTGAACGTGCTTTTTTTAAGTGATATCCATGTAGCCGGGCATGGTGGCGCACGCCTGTAATCCCAACACTCGGGAGGCTGAGGCAGGAGGATCACTGTGAGATCGAGACCAGCCTGGGCTGAACACTGAGTTCCAGGTCAGTCTCAACTACATAGTGAGACCCTGTCTCAAAAACCAAAAAAAAAAA